CCGAGAGGCAGGGAGAGGGAGACGGAGAGAGGGAGAGAACAGTCATGCTGATACTTACCACAAGTACGACAGCGGAACTCGTCATGATCAAAACAACATCAGCAGACACACTGGTGCCCAGCCCGCCTCAAGCAGCGCACTATGCTGGGCACACGGAGCCTTGGGTGCTCAGCTTGCCAAGTCGAAAACGAAGGTAGAGAAACTTCTAAGTTAAATGTACATATGAATATACATATATATATATATATGTATGTATGTATGCATGCATGCATGCTTGCATGCATTTGTGTATGTATGTATGTATGTATGTATGTATGTATGTATGTTAGCATGTATGTATTTATGTATGGTATGCATGGTATGGTATGCTATGGTATGGTATGGTATGGGATGGTCTGGGATGGCATGGCATGGCATGGCATTGCATGGCACGGCACGACACGGCACGGCACGGCATGTATGTATGTATGTATGTATGTATGTATGTATGTATGTATGTACGTGTGTTTAATATGCTTGCATGTGTGCGTGTGTTCATCCAGCTATGCCCTACTTTTGTTTACTCATTTACTAGACTTGTGTATGCTTCTTCATTGGTTTTCGATTTTATGTACTTATGTTTATCTTCACTTATGAAAGCGCTTTACATTATTGGTATTCATTTGTATGTATTTGTACGTAATAGCATTTGCTGATATTCACATTTAGCTATCATCTATACTTAAAGTTATGTATTTCTAAGTGCTTATATTTACTGCTGCTATGGCGAAGTTTCACCCCACTCATTGCAATTGCCGTTCAAACGCTTTTTGACTGGAAGAAGCATTTCTAAAGAGCCAGATCGGGCGTTGCTTTGCCTTTGGGATGTGGATATATGGTGCTTCTTCATCTTCCTAAATCAGAAATCAGCTATATCTGCTTTGGGCAAAACCAAAAGTTGGCCTACACTATAGCGAAAAAACTATACAGGGGCTACAAGGGAATATTATTTCTAGCTACCTCACCTCCCCAAACCCGAAAGAGAAAAGCTTCAGCCTTCTTCGAGCCCTTCTTCTCGGGTGCCAAGAGGCTGGGCCTCCAGCCAGGCACCCTCGGCACCGCAGGCCACGCCTGGGGGCTACAGTATCCTGGTGGGGGTGTGTGGGTATGTGTGTGGGTGGGTGGGGGGTGTGCTGGTGCTCTAGGCCTCTAGGCATCGCACTTACTGCTCAGATTGGTGTTGTCTTTGTACTATGATGGTCGGTATGCTGGTTACTGCTCACATCACGCCTGATCTTTCCGGTGTGAACTTGCAGAAATCCCTGGCCCACCAGACGAAAGCCGCCGAACCTTTGAACTTGCACGTTATAATTAGCCCAAAACCCTGAAACTCTGAGCCATAGACCCTGAACCCCCAAACGAACCCTCTGACCCCTCCCCTGCGTGCCGCACCCGAAGGGCAGGGTGCGGCCCAGACAGTGGCCAAATCGCCATCCTCTCTGCCAGTGGCTCAGAAAGGCTGACAAAGCCCGGTTTAGGGCAGTATACTTATAACTTACATAACAATAATAATAACTATCATGATCGTGCAAAATAATACTCGTGACAATGATAATACTAGTATGAATAATGATGATATAGTTCCACCAAAAACACCCCAAAACCCCAATGCAGTCCGGCTCTACAGTATCTGCTTCAGACTTGGAACCCTTCCGGCATGGCTTCAATGGTCTCCGTTTGCGCGACGCCATCAACAAGTCTGAGCACCTCCCGGCATGCTGAGGAAATTGATGAAAATTGCTATTGAAGGTCCTTCCTTCTTCGGGTAGCCACCTAGCGTGCTGCTTTTGCCGGAATAGGAAGAGGGCTCGTGGCTTGAGGGCCTTGCGGGGTTGGGGCTGAAGATTCGAAACCGTCCTGGGCATGGCTGGGGACGAAGGCGGCATCGGAAGCCGTCACGCCATCTCCTTCTGTGTTGATGTCTTTTTTGACGAATCCCGCCGCCCCCCTCCAGATGTGTAAGATAGGTCGGGCTCGGTGGTTGGTCGAACGATTCGGGAATGGCAGGGCCACCCCTGATAACGGTTCCAACTCCCCGTAAACACCCGAAAAACCCTTCTGACTCCCCAGGCCTGGACCCCCCTAAGCTCCAAAATTTTCAAAAAAAACACCCCAACAAAAGCCTCAAAGCCTAAACCCTGGAACCTGAAACCCCAAACCCGACTCCCATCAACCCTTGACGCGAAGCTCCAGAGCTCACAGAGCCCATAGAGCCCGCATCGTACCCTCATAGAACCCTCATAGCACCCAAACCACGGTTTAGGGTTAAGGGTTTAGGGTTAAACTCTAAAGCCACAACCCGTACAGACCCCTCTTGTTGAACTCTCATGGATAAACCCTTTTTGCAACTGGCTGTCAAGGTCACGCAGCCCTAAACCCCATAGAAACACTTATTAAACTTCTAAGCCAAAGGGTACTACCCTAAACCCTAAACCCTAAACCCTAAACCAGGAACCTCGTGAAGGAAAGGCCCCAATGTGCAGCTCGGCTTTGGGGTGCTCCTACGAAGCCGGAGCCGCTGAAGCGGGCGACCATCGGCGGGTCCCGGCACTCCACGTTGTCCTCCGAGTTTGGGTTCGGGGCTCGGGGGTTTAGGGTTTGGGCTTAGGGAAAAAAAGTTTTGGTTTTAGGGGTTGGGGGAAAGACTTGTTTCCGGCCAAGAGGTTTGGGTTTAAGAACTTTGGGTTTGCGAGTTTTGTTATGAAGGCTTGAATTGGTAAAAAGTTCTGATGAAAAAAATCTGGAAAGCTTCTAGGGTTTGTCGCTGAGGGCTTCTATAAGGCTTCATCAAGGGTGTATGGTGCGCAGGGGCTTTGGGTTCAGAGTAGGCTTTTTGTTGCCTTTTAGGGGTTTTTGGCTCCCACCTCGCCAGGCTTCAGGGATTTAGAGTGCAGGATTGCCCTCGCCAGCTGGTTGAAGGCTCGATGCCCGGTATTAGCAGTTTCGGGGTTTGGAGTCTTATGCACGGAACTCTGAACCCTCATCTACCCTAGACCCTAAACCCTAAGCACCCTTATCCCGAAACCACGAACCCCAGGCTTCTAGACTCAAGACCCAAAAGTACCCACTGAGGCCGAGGTTTCTTTAGCCGGGTCCCTCACAGTTCACAGGGCTTAAGGGTTCAATTGTCGACTTCGGGCTATGGAAGAGGTCTGATCGTTTTTAAGTTTTAAGCACTTTCAGGTTTGGTGCGCAGGCTTCAGGGTTGGCTAGAATTCACGGGAATGTAAGGACTGGATGCGCTGAAGCATAGAGCTTCAAAAATGTTCTAATAGGGCTGTTATCAAGGTGTAGAAAGACGGGTGTGCACCGACACATGCCGACAATTCCGGGCTGTTCTTTCCTGTACAAGCCCCCCCTTATCACGACGGAAACAGCCCAATCCCCAACGGCCTGCCACATCGGACAGAAACTACTTCCGTAGAAGATTGCAAACACTTGGCTCATCTAGGCACGAAAGCGATTTAGACTTACTTCATAGTGCCTTGATAAGAAGCAGCTCTCAAACAGATTTCAAAACCCGAAAACCAAACCTAACCTGCTAGTTCCGCCCGAAAGCCACAAACCTAAACCTCCGAGCCCTTAACCCTTACACCACAACACAACCTACAGTAACCCGTGCACATCCATCCACACCGTGACCCCCTGCCCTTCCGAAAACACCCGCCGCGCTAGCTCCCAAACGAGCAGCGCACCCCTTGACCCTGCGTCTTAAACTCTACAAACCCCTTCGAAGGCCATAAACTATAAACCCCCTGAGCCCATATTGGCTCGCATTCCTTTGCGCCACCCTTTAGAGACCGCCACCGGTCCCAACTTCTAGAGCATGCTAGGCACATGATTTCGAAGTATACCCACAAAACCGAGCCTAAAATCCGCTGTATCGAAATCCCCCAGTTACACTCTCACATTCCCCCATTGAGGCAGAGGATCGAAAAGCTCGAGCTCTGCGACGGCCCACTCCGTCGCAATAGGCCAAGGGTCCCAATTGGCCTCAGCTTCGTTGCCGGGAAGCCATACCGGGTTCAGGATTTTGTTTCCCTCTCGCATGGCCTAGGATCAATGCCCACAAGCGAGGTAGTTCTGTAGGATTTCGGCGGGAACTGTACTAGATGCGATGTAGGTCGGCCTGCGAAGGTACCTAGGGTTGAGGGTTTAAGGTTTAGGGTTCAAGGTTCTTGCTTGCGGTGCACTCCTCGGTAAACTTATCGAATAGGTTTATGCTTTAATACAAATGGAGTGTCGCATCGGCCATGTGTTTTGCGTTCGAGAGTTTGCATCGGTGCGTGTTGAGAGTGAATGCTTCCATCAGCCGTGCGTTTTGAGCGCGAAACTTCGCATCAGGTGTGTTGAGTATGCGAGTGTGCATCGGTGCCTTTTGAGCGTGAACTTCTGCATCAACCATATTTTTGAGTTTCAATTGTTCAATCGGCCGTGCGTTTTTCCATGCGTTTTGGGATGTGACATCTCGCATCGTCCATGTGCGTTAAGTTTGACGGTTTGCACCGTTGCATTTTGAGCTTGAGATTTTGCATCGGCCATGTGTTTTGAGCATGGGGTTTTCCACGAAGGCTGCAAGCGGCTGGTACAGCTCCAAGGTGAGCGACTTGAGCTTGGGGTTCAAGGCTTTTGCGTCTTGTGGGGATCTCCTCTCTCGCTTTTATCTGTTTCGAGATCTTGAACCTGCAGAGTTCCTGGGATTAGGAGACCCTTCAAGGCGAGATGGCTCAAGCTCCAGATACATCTGACAGAGAAAGCAGAAGCTACGAAGGTTCAGGGCTCCGGCTTGAAACGTGTCCAAATGCTCCGAATGACGGACTCACATCCGCATGCAAGTTTCGCACTTTGACGGCGAGGCTTACGACGAACAGTCCCTGTACAATGCCGCCCTCACGGGGCGCCAGGCTCAGAACATGTGCCGAGCCTCTCTACACTGAAATCGGTCAAACAAGAACCGAAGCTCATTCCTCATTCCTGTCCTGGGGTGCCAGCTGGGCCGATACTGTCGTGCTGCTCGGTCCGGCTTCCGAGAAAAAGTAATGGATCTTGCGCCACTCCTCTGAGGGTAGCATGCGGAAATCCCCCACACATGAAGCATGCGGGTGACTTGTAGGACCCGCCTCGGACTCGGCATTTGTGGATACGTTTGCCGTCCCATCTTGTGGGCTCCGGTGCAGGCTCTCCTCCTCCTTCCTCGTCTCCAGCTGGCTCAAGCGCGGAATGTGAAGCACCGGGCAGTGGTTTGCCGTGGAATGGGCACAGCTGTCACTTCTGCACCCGCATCGATTCCTGTGTTCCCACCAACAGATCAGCTTGCCTCGAGCTTCCGGTCGAGCGGTCTGAAGGCAGATCTCGGCCTGTTCTTCAAAGCCGTGAACATCGGTGATGTTGTTGGATTCCAGCCGCAGCCAGAGCGGCAGTGGCCAGTTCTTGCTGCCCGGTCGCGCGGATGGATAGCTCCTGTTTTCTGCCACTGCCTTGATAAGCTCGAGCGCGCCGGCGGTCTTGATGTTGTTGTGTGAGAGGTGCAGCTCGAAAATCGCCCATGGTGCGGATCGGATCCACTGTGCTAGAAGCTGTGCACTGCGGCAGCTGAACTTGTTTCGATAGAATTTGGCGGCTCCGATGACGACCCTGGCCTGCCTCAAAGTGAGGAGAAGGATCCTCAAGGCCTCATCGCTCAGGTCATTCTGAGAAATGTCCACCTCATGGGCCAGCACGATGTCGTCGCTGGACACGTAGAGCTTTCGCACCTTCGCCTCTTTCAAGCGGCGTAGCTCCGTGGGGAACCATGAGCAAAAGCTTTGTATTGTGCGCTCATCAAGTCCCATCTTTGCCAACCGAATGCTGAGAAGCCCGTCAGCCGAGACTTGGACATAGCTTGCCCAGCTCCAGTGATGCCCGCCGGCACCGGACCTCATGTCTCGCTGAGGTGTCTGCCACTCCCTGTGCTGCTTCGGGTACTGCTTCTGGCCATACCAACGCTGCCACTCCTGCATGGTTGAACTGTACGAGCTTTCTATGAACCAAACAACTGGCAAAAACCAATTAGCAGGACAGGCGTGGCGGACCCCTCGCATCCTGGTAAGACTGTGCGGAATATGCGGAACAAAGCAACGTTGCGTTTGAGATGTGTGTCAATTGCATTTCAGGTCAAGGCTCGATGCAATCCTAATGCGTGTCAAGTGCCTTTCAGGTGCGGCTCACGTACAGTTCAGGTACGTTTCAGGCGCGTTTCGAAACTGAAACCCGGAGCACAGACAATCGATTTCACGGAACAGGGTCCATCAAAAACCTGAGCTCGCACCGCTTCTTCTGCCGGTCAGCTGTAGGCCTTCAAGCGCACATTCTATCCAGGTTCTGAACCAAACGAGCACCAGGAGCCTGGCGACTTCACGATCGCCGACCACACTAAAACCCACCTGAAACGATCTGAAAAGAACCTGGGCTGCACGAAGAACAGAAATAGCTGTGATCTGAAAACGCCGCCGAAAAGCACCTCACATGCACCGTGCAAGCCGACAGCGAAAGACAAGCTCGTGCTCTCTTGGCTCCTGGCCCTATTGCCTAGCTCTTCGTCAAAACCCTGGCTATCCTAACAAATCATAACGCTGGAGCGCGGTTCCACCACCTCCCCGAAAAGATGCTTGCAGCTCAACCCTGTCCTGGTCAGTCCAGGTGTCGCGCTTCCATTCTGCCTTCCTCTCTTGGACGGAAGGCTTTTTTGACTGCTCTTCGTTTTCATTTGGGCGCTCCTGTGGCCTCCCATCCTCGTGGACAGGTGCATGGCTGGAGCTGTCCTCCGGCACGTCTCCAACCCGCGGAGGTTGAAGCTGCGCTTCCGTGGCCTCGGTGGGCGCAAACTCCTCGTGAATATGCTCGGGCCTTGAGAACTCCTCGTGAATCTGCTCCGAGGTAGTTGAACTGCAGGACTCGAGAGGAATTCCTGCATCCTCCACGAAGCCGATCGGAGCGATCTTATTGTTGCCCTTTGCCATGGGTGGCTGGGAGCTAATGGCTGGGTCAGTCGAGCCCGGCCCTACAGTTGAGGCCACTGCTTGAGGCGGGCCGAGCCCTGTGGATGACGAAGCATCCGTAGCAGCGGCTGTGGATGGAGGCTCTGGTTGTGGTGGTATGATTTTGTTCTTCTTGGTCTTCTGCTTAAGCCTGTCTTGCTGATCGAGGTCCGCAGCAGACATGGCTGGCAAAGCTTCTGATGCGAACTACCTAAAATAAAGCATCATGAAGTCATGTACTTTCTTGACATCCGAGCTTGCGCACTTGGTTCGGAGATCGTGCTTCAACTGCTCGGAACCCTTAAGCATTGAGCTGCAGTCGGACATGTCACCATCACCACTATCAAGCACCGCCATGACCATCGTTGCCAGCACCTCCATATCCATCATTGCCGCCATCCTCTCAACAAGACCCGCACCTCTGCATAGCTTCATCACTATCTTCTCAAACCCGTTTTGAAACCGGACTTGATGACTGCCAGCATTGCCTTCTCAAACCCTTAAAACCCTAAACCCTAAACCCAAAACCCTAAACCCCAAATCATGAGCCCAAGGCACCTCTGCTAAGAGGGGCCTCAGGCGCCACTTGGAGTTGGCCTCCACCGTCAGGTCCTCCCGAAGTTTTTTCTTCCTAGGGGTCCGCCCTGAAGCCCGGAAACCTTTCAAGCCCAAACCCTAGAAGCCTGAAACGGTTTAGGGTTTGGGGTTTAGGGTTTGGGGTTTAGGGTTTAGGGTTTGGGGTTTGGGGTTTAGGGTTTAGGGTTTAGGGCTTGGGGTTTACGGTGAACCCTGAAACCCTAAAACCCTGAAGCCCCCAAACTGTCAACCCTGAGTCCCTGAAGCAGTGTCCAGGCCCCGAGGCCCAAGGCCCAAAACTCTGAAAGCCATCAGAGTTCAGGGATTTGGGAAAAAAGACCCTGAAGCCTCAGGCCCTAGAGTCTCTCGGTTCCCAAGCTCAAGAATACCATCATCATAACCATGTATTGGCTTTAACCAGACGAATACTAGCCATCGGAATCAGAATCACAACAATAGCACAACAATAACAACCATAAAAACCTCAAAAACAATAGCAACATGATGACCATATATAATCATAATCACAGCAGCCATATTCATAATCATAATGGCAGCAACAAGAAATACAGCCATCATAATCACCATAGTGCCAGGCATCATAATAACAACCAGTAGCTACAACAACAATAACAGTTTTCATGACAATGAAAATCACAATTAAAAAGCATGATGATCATCATTATGCTATCCGCAATAACCATCAACACTAACAAAGACAACAGTAACATTAATGATAGCCCATACACAATTAACAATAACAATCATCGGAATACTAAGTAGTATAAAGTGGGAGTTAGGATTAGGGGGACCCTTAAGGATATAGACCCTCTCAATAAGGTCCCCTTTAAGAGAGCCACAAGTAGGGTTGAGACGGGTCCCCTTTACGGGATCTCCCTAATACTACCTAGGAATAAAGGAGGCATCTTCCGGGTCCAGAAAGCGACCGTCTGCGTCCACGCCTCCGGTTGGGGGAGCCAGCGGAAGGAAGGCAGCCGGTTTAGGGGTTTGGGCTTAGGGGTGAGTATCTTTAGGGTCGAGGGTTTAAGGGTTTTAGGGTTTAGAAGGGCTCAGGGCTGAGATTAGGCTGAGGATTCTCCCTAAACCCTTAGGCTTTAGGGTTTGGGGCCCGTCCCAAGCGAACTCTAAACCACGAGTTCATCATCCAGTGAGCCGAGCTTACAGACCTAAATTCGTTGATCTCGAAGCCCACATTCTCCGGTAATCCCTGAAGGTGCTGCTAGGGCTTGCAGTTGAACTCTCACCCCGTTTGACTGAACCCTGAGGCATTAGGGTTGATCTTTGAATCCAAAACCTCCGACGTATACGAAGTCCTGCGGATCCTGAAGCCCGAAACGCGGAGGACCCGAAAAAAGAGCGTTGAAGCGACCTCGCGAATGCTTCCAAACCTGGGTCCTTGTAGGCTACAACTTTACATTTCTGCTATAATAAAACCCAATAAGGATATTTAAAAAAGATCCTTACTAGTATAGCCCCAACAGTGAACCCGAAACCCTACATCCTCCCATCTACAGAGGCGACGCTTCCGAACCCTGAAAAACCCTCGGCTCTAGAACCCGTCTGCTGCTTCTGAATTTGGACTAAAGTTGACCTTTAACCTTGCACCCTAGGCCCCTCGAAGCACTCTGATTTGGGCGAAGGTTGCCACGCACCTCCCGTGTTCACGAAGGTCTTGACACGTACCTGGGGTACGACTCTGCTCTTTCGGGGCTTCAGGGGGTTATGGTTTAGGATATTGCCGATGTTGTTTCATTCTTGAGCAGTGGCATGGTGGTGAGGCGGACAACTGCGGGGTGTTGAGTTTTGGGGCTGTTGAGATTCACAGGGCGGCTTCAACTAAGACATGCCTCGGGAAGGACCTGGCATGGCACACAGGAGAACTTCTTCCACCGGAAGACCCGTGACCATACACACACTCAGCCCCAAAGCCCTCAAGCCCAATCCGCTCATCCCTTGAAACCCCGACCCAAAACACCTAAACCGATTCCTAAACCTAAACCCTATTAACCCCAAGCATCATAAGCCCTCCAAACCTCAACGTTAAAGCTTCAATCTCAAAACTTGAGTTGCATCCCAAACCTTATGAACCTAGAACCCTAAACTAAAGAACTGAGATCCCGACCCAGCTGCTGCCATCCCAACGGTCGAGTCCTTGCACTCCGGCCCGTCGGAACACAACGGTAACCAGGGCTGAAGTCTACCGTAGCCTACCAGAAGTTTCTGGGTTGAGGGTTCAGGCCTTTAGCATGTTTCTTTGTGGGGCCCCCGGTCGGCTACGGGGTGGGGTTTGAAGCTTCGAGAAAATCATTGAAACAGCGGCCCTGCTTGCGCGACGAAAGCATCGGACCCTGCCTATGGTTGAGGCGGAGTGGTTCGAATCCACAGGCTGCATCAAGCGGATGCACTTGGTCTGGCACGAGTGGGCGTCGCTTCGGGCGAGGAAGTACGGGAACTTCAGCCCATAATTACTGCTAACCCGCTTGGGGTTCAGGGTTGGGTCGGCATGCTGGGCTTGTGAATTGGTGGCTCAGATGTCGAAACCACAACAAAGTCCTGTTTCACTACTCGCGCGGGCGATGAGTCAGGAAACTTACGGCCACGACCAAACTACCAAACTGTCCAAAACTCCTAAACCCTCCACCCTTATAATACCCGCAACCGACCTCTACAACACCCTTACAACACCGACATCAGTCCCTTAGAAACCCTCCCAAGTAGACCCCCTTCAAAACCCTTAAGACCCGAATCCAAACACTCCGCATGGTCCCAGCACTCGTAGAGCCTCGAAGGTTGTGAAGCCGCTGTCCATGCCTGGCAAGGAAGACAAAGGCCATCGAGGGCAGGGTCAGGCGAATCCCAAGGCCCCTTGACCTCAAGTCCATGAAACGTCCATGAAACCCAAACCCCTGAAGCCAGGCACTCTCCTTGGTCGCTCTTTACGGCACCAGTAACGGGAAGCTTTTTTATCCTCCGGCACAAAGGCGCGTGCAGCGAAGCAGATCACGAAACTGCAAACTCCATCAGCGTTGCATCTAACTTTGCTGTCTATGCTCTCCTTCCTCGTCACGATTTCCTGGCGTCGATGATTCCGCTGCTTCTGTACAGCAACTTATAACGAGGGCGACGACGACGACGACGAATCACGACTTCTGCTCCTCCTGCTGGTTCTGCTGGTGCTGCGACAACCCCTGTTTGGCACTATGATCATCGTAGTTGGTCGCAGGTGTAAGGAATGTTTGACTTTCGGGGTTTCGAGAGCTGCCTCGTGTCTGTGGCATGAAGGGACATCTCTCTGCTTGAAACTCCAGCGCGCGGCTTCCACGGTTGGTCTGCAGACTGAAGAATGGGCGCAGGGGCTTTAGGATGTACTGTAAGGTTTCAGGATACTGGTTAGAGCTCAAGTCCAAGCTATGCCTCCTCTCTTCATGCCAAGCTAGTATTAAAGCTCCGACTGTACAGGGAGCAGCATCACAGGCACAGCCCAATCGGAAGACCCAGACTAGCCTCGAAACATCCCCGAGTCAGCAGCAAGGTCTGTCTGGCAGCTGGCCCTACCCCTGGAGCATACTCCTCGATAACATGTAGCCCGATCTCCCTCAACTACACCCTGTAAAATTCCTAAGCCTGAACCCTAAAGCCGCAGAGCCTTATAAGTTTACGCCCTAGTTACAATATGAAACCTTACACCGTTCTAACACTATACTATAATCCCACGATCCTCTTGCCCAATGCCCAAAACCTGTTGCGACTACATTCTGGGTCCCTGGAACCCTCCTTGATCTCCGCTTCCGAAAGCCCGGAACCACACAACCAAGCCTCACAGCGGCAAGAACCTCCCGACTGACTTTCGCTTGAAACACTACGCGTCACTTGTGGTATCCGAACTGGATTGGCCCTCATCCTGGCAGCGCTGATGCTTACAGCTCAGGGGCCGCCAAGGGCCTGCTAGGGAGTCGTTATAGTTTTTTCAACACGCTTCTACACGATTGTTGTAAGGCTTCTGATGGGCGTCTAAAGGAGTTTAGGGTTCAGGGTCCAGGAGATATAAGATCACGGTTCAAACTAAGCTTTGGCTGTAAGCTGCCAGGTTCGTTGATTGAAGTGGAAAGCCCTTGGCGCTAGGGCCTTTGAGGCTGGGGGCTCCCCCTCTGCGTTCGCTGTTTGTGGAGGCCATCTTTCAGTGCACCAACATAGCTCGCCTCACTACTGCCGCCATGTTCACCAGAAGTCCCAGCTCAGTATCCCAGTGCATGCGTTTACACACGTTCTAAATAGAATTCCCGTAACTTTGGAAGTATGTAAGACTAGAAGTTGATATTCTGCCACGGAGAAAGGGATTCAGCTATTGTCAAGGGGTGTTCTTGATCATCTGTGGGGTACTCAGAGCCAGTTTTCATGAAGGATGTTACTGGCCATGCGGGCTGTGTTGAGGACCCTTCTTTTCTCACAAACCCCATCATGCAAGGAAGAAGCAGGGGCTCGAATCCTAAAAGTCGTAAAGCGCTCGGGTCTAGGGTTTAGGGTTCAGGGTTTAGGGTGTCGGGTTTATAGGGTTTAGGGTTTAGGGTTGCGGGTTTAGGGTTCAGTAAACCCTTAACCCGCACTAGCCTGAATTCATGCAACAACCTCGCAGGGAGCCCCACATTCTAAACGACGTGTGGACTGATAAAAACCTGAAACCATGAATCCGAAATCACCCCCAAACGCCAAAACCCAAAGACCCTTCGACTCTAGATCTTAAGCCTAAACCCCCAAAGCTACACCGTCAATTCCAATTCCTCAGCCTCGAGCTCTCTTATGTGCAGGAGTGAACTATTCAGACGGGGCCGGTGAGACACTTCATTCCAAACTACTGGGCAACCTCGGACAAGCAAACCCGAAGCCTTAAATTAAACGCGAACACAAACCCTCTGCCCCTGAAGCATGAAACCCAAAAACACCCCAAAACCCTGAACCCTGTAGCTATACTATTTTGTATTACACAATACTGCTATCCACTCTGCTCTACTCTTCTGTGGAAAACCCTTTGTTGAATCCAACAGCCTCTGTCTTTCAAATCCTAAAGCCCTAAACCCTAAACTCAGAAACCCTGAGGCCCTAAACCCGAAAGCCCCAAAGCCAAAAACCCTAAAGACCCGGAAGTCCTCCAGGATCACCTCGGGCTCCAGAAGAGCTCGTAGGGTGGGCAAGGACCTGGGGCTGAACCGTTTGGGGTTTAGGGCTTCAGGGCTTTAAGGCTTTCGGGGTTTAGGACTCTAGGGCTTCAGGGCTTTAAGGCTTTAAGGCTTTAGGGGTTTAGGACTCTAGGGCTTAGGGCTTTAAGGCTTTAAGGCTTTGAGGCTTTAGGGGTTTAGGACTTTAGGGCTTAGGGCTTTAAGGCTTTAGGAGTTTGGGGCTTTAGGGGTTTAGGGCTTTGGGTTTAAGGCTTTAGGGCTTTAGGGTTTAGGGCTTTAGGGCTTCAGGGCTTTCAGGTCGAGGGCTTTAGGGCTGTCGGGGCTTGGGGCTCTCGCGACTCGGACAATGCAGGCGAGGTTGATCCAGGCGCCAGGGTCTACCCTAGCTCCTTTGTTGGTGGAGTTCAGGGCTTTCTGCCTCGGAGCTCAGTGTTTTTAGCGTTAACCTAAACCCTTTTCATGGGCTTGGATTTTGTGCCAGCGAACACTCCTTAACAGCAGGGCCTTCTCATATCCCTCGCTAAACTCCTTTATTTACACAGGCTTGATTGGAGCTCGCCCGGCGTTGAACCCTAAACCCCTAAACCCCTAAACCCCTAAACCCTGAACCCTAAACCCTAAACCCTAAACCCCTTTTTGCATAAACCCTAAACCCCAGTAGCAAGATGCTCGGGGCCCGGAAGCCTTGACTGAAACTTCCCACAACCTCGCAGCTCGAGATGGGTACGACGTTGTCCCCCGTTTTGTCGGGCCATAGATGGGAGCAAGCCTTTCTGTTCTTTGGGTCCCTTTCCGGGTTCCTTACTTCAAGAGCTCCATGTCACACAGTCGAGCTTGAAGGCTAGAGCTTAAGACGGTTAAGACTCGGGATGACACGTAACTATACCCCCACCTGCAACCCGCGAGACGGATGAAACAGGGCACCCTGCTTCGGACTGCTCCTGTACTACAAACCTGCCTAATGATGACTTTGACAATGACAGATGATGACAGCAAAAGAGAACAAAAATAGATCAATCTGCAACATGGCAATGCTAGGAAACTTCCGGGAGCCATTCAGAATCCAGCTGTTGCAGATCTTAATGATGCCAGGATGCGTGTCTTCCCCTCGTGGGCAATCATCAGTGGTCCAACCTTCGCAGACTTTCTGCAGTGACTATGCTACACTACAACTTTAACTGCGTTTATTCTTCTTGCTGCTCTCAACATCAGGCCCCATCGCTCTTGGCACTCTGTTTTTTTCCTATGCTTGCTCTGATTGTCTTCTCCCTCTTCACTTCCCATTAAGCTGAATCCGATCGCCGGAAGGCCTTCGGTAGGCGGCAGGGCGTCCGTCGAGCGTATCCGATAATAGTCCTCGGTCGGCTTCAGGGATTTCGAGAGAGGTCCAAAGCCTCCAAATCCTGACATGGCCGGGGCTTAGCGCTACTTCACGGAGGAGTCCTGCACGGATGGCCTCTTACACCATTTCGAGCCGTTTGCGGAAAAAGAACCCATACCTTGAGCCTAGAGGCACCGAGGATCTCCGCAGTAGGACTCCCACAACCCCGAAGCAGCTGTGATTGGTGATGGTGCTGTCGGTATTGGGGCTTGCTGGGTTGCAGCATTAGCGGCCCCTTCGAAGTATTTCTGAGTAGGTAAGTCTATAGGAGCCATGAGGGGAAGAAAAAGAACTTCACAAAGTGAAACCAAGCTCATAAGTTTAGGATGTAAGATGTAGGGTCAGGGTGCAGCCAGAGCGACACCATGCTTTGTGGTGAGATCGCCGGCATTGCTGAAATACCTCGGCACCACCACTTGTGGGGCTTCGACATCATGACCGCCAGGCTCCGAAGGCTAGGTAGCGCAACCCTAAGGGGAACCCCAAACCCCGAAATCCTAAACCTAATCTCTCGCTCTCCCGGGTCTCAGCCACGACGTAAAGCTCTAAATCTGAGTTCCTAACTCTAAAGCCACTCAGGTTCAGGCGTGCTTTGTGCACGTTGCAAGCACGTTCTATGGGTTGAGCTGTAGGGCTGAGACATGTGTGGAAATTCTGGCTTCGGGCTCAAAACTACAGGGTTCAAGGCTAGGGCCCTAACAGTACTGTTAGGGCCGGTTATAGGGTTTCGGATTTCCATGACATCCGCTCCGGCTGGAGCCCTTTATGAAGCCAGAGCTCTGAAACTCGCAGCCCCAAACAGCAGCCTAAACACCCCGTACATCCAAATTCGCTCTCCAGAAACGTTGCGGGTTTCGGGGCTGAGGGCTTGAAGGTTTCACGGGGCACCTCGAAAGACATTTAACCTGCAGTTACGGTTTCTTGCTCAGAGCCTGTTGGCTATTGGGCTTCTGATTCTGGTTCAACAGCACGTCAACCTCAGCAACCTCTGCAAGAAATCAGACTTGAACTTCGGAGACCTCACAGCCCCAGATGCCAGTATGGCGTGCCCCGCCGCATGACGTACCTTCCAGCAGAAATGGGCTCAGGGTTGAGGGGTTTAGGGCTTAGGGTTTCGGGTCCAGGGTGTTTTCCCTCTTGCATGGCTGAGATCTAAGGTTTAGGGTTTAGTTTCACAGTCTGGCTCAAAGGAAAAATTGCCTAGCGCTGGGCTTCATGGAGCTGTCGGTTCCTTGGAAGCTAAGGGGACGGAGCAGGATACAGTATGGGACAACACATCTACACCTGAGTGCAACATGCACCTGTCGCTGGAGTGCTGTCCTTGCACAGAGTGAGGTTTCTCTAGTTTTTGCTCGGCGCATTGAACGTTTTTTCGCCTAAGCCCCTGCGGAAGAAGTCTTGGGCTTGCTTCTCTGGGCCTGTGCTTGAGTCACCTGGGGCAGAAAAACCCCGTCAATCACAAAACCCAAGGGAAGGGTTGTGTAGAGCTCGAAGATGCTCGAACACTTTGGTCTAGAGGAACATGATTCGATAAAAGCTTCTGCGACTCAGGGTGCCGAGGAGTGTGGGTTTCGCAGGTCTGCTGGGTGGGCCTGAAGAGCATGATTCCCTTGGTGTTGGTGAACATGGCGGCATCGTTCATGCGCCGGGATGACTTGAAGTAGTAGCCGTTCACCTGAGATCCAACTTATGCCTTCCCTCCTAAAGATCTAACAACACTAAGGATGAAGATCCCACTCCTAAGTGCCCATACTGAAGGGCCTCCGAATGGATTTCTGAAAGTCGGTGTTGGGATCAGGGTTTAGGGTGGTCGAACTCCAAATTGGAAGCGCATGGCAGACAGTGCCTTTCACATCAAATTCTGACCGCGGAACCCTGAACCCAAGTGCCCCCACATTCCCCACAAGCGGTGAGCCCCACGCACCAAGAAGCCTTCATAACCATGAGTGGGTAAGCCATGAGTCGTATGCACTGCGGCTTTCGGGCTGTTTCCGAGCTTGTGGGGCTGTAGAGCCACAGAAGGCTCCCGATACCCCTTCCCCCAGGTACTCGACGAAGAAACCTTGAACCCTCAAAGCTCTTTAGCAGTTGTGGGGTGGGGCCAGCCCTAACCCCGAAACCCTTGATCTATTTTTGTTTGGAGTTTAGGCCTCAGCGGTAAGACACGAAGACTGTCCCTAGCCAGCTGGGCAGCAATGCCCACGCCGGCCTTTTCAACCAGGTAAGCAGCTGGCTGCAAGATGACCTGCGGTTTTAGGGTCAGCAGGAGAGGAACTAGGTAGGGTGGAGGCCCCTACGATCGGGATTGTTGTTTACTGTCGCTGTAACATTCATTGCCCCAGGAGCTCCAGGGTCTTTGGAGGAGCTGATCGATGAGCACAGCCATAGGGAAACTTGAACTCGCAGAAGCCCGAGACTTCAAAGCCCTCTTGGGTCGTAACTGAAGCCCAAGGACCCCCCACCTCTGGCATCCAGGTCTGCGCTCAGAAGCCAGAATTGAAAACGACTCGTATCATCCATGATGCTACGATGGCTGCCTCTATCCCTGTGTCATGATGTTTGGGTCCATCTGGCAGCCCACGGCCTGGACCGTCGAATCGAAGGTAATGCCGGCACCTTCGCTCGAACAACAACGAGAGACTCGCGACAGACTACCTTCAGCGCAGCAGGTTGTGGGGGAAATTGAACGGGGATCGGGGTCTTGAGGATAGCCTCCATTAACCTCCCATCTAACATCTGGCATCTGTCTACCCCAGCGGATTCGCTCCGCTGTCATATGTCTGGCCAGCAAGTCTAAGACAACAAAGGACCCTCATGGTTTGACCTTTCAGGCTAAAGGCCCTGCTTAAGGCTCTGGGAATTTATGGAGTAGCAAAGCCTGCGGCCCCCGTTCTCACGTCTCTGATGCATCGAGTCTTGTGCTGATTTCCTCTTCCTGAAAAACCCCTGAAACCAAAAACTCATACCAAGATAAGATGAAATAAGCCTAAGATGAAATGAAATAAGACTAGGATAAAATAAAATGAAATAAGATAAGACGAAGTGTGTTGAAGGCTGCACGGGCGCGAGGGTGTTGGGCAGCCTGCAGTTTCGGGACTCGGGGCTGAGGCCTTTTCTCTAAGCTTCTTCCATCTGCCCGGGTGTCATTGGAATTCAAGGCGACGGTCTACCACGAGATTGGAAAAAAGTAGCCCTAAACCCTAAACCCTAAACCCTAAAGACCCTAAAAGGTAGCCAAGTTTCTGCCGACTGTCTGCTGGTCATCGAGGATGGCCCCTGCAGGTTGGAAAAAGACAAAGCAATGAGGTTCGTCGGACTTTGCGGTCCCGTAACCCGTAAACCACAAAAGCCCTGCCTCGACCCTTGCCTCACTGAAAAAGGAACTCAGCACCTCGTCGGGCAACAAGAGAATGTATCCTTTATTCCCAATTTACCTGACAACCGCAGTAGGTAGCTATCGTTTGTCACATGCACCTGCATCCGGGCACCAGCTGACATGGACAACCTTCAACCCTAAACTCGAAGCCGTAAACACGAAGCCCCAACACTTAAACAAAGCAAGCACAGAAAATACAAACACAACGGCTTGAAGACAGCCACTTGCACCGGCCTGGGGCCGACGTGTTAATGAACTTCCAGCTTCGGGGAGCTCTACCCTACATCCAATATCCCTGAGGCTTTGCAGGAGAAGCTTTTGGACAAGACCCTAAAATTCAAAAGTTAGACTGATAAAGCATAGGTTCAAGCACAATTCCGGACACAACAGAATGAGTCTCCCCTTTGCGGGGGCGCCCTCGAAGACCAACTTGGACGGCCAGCGCTCTTCACCCAGTAGGGTCTGAAGATGCTTCTTCACGTCCGACACCTCTCAGTGGTGAATATTATATAATGTATAATATTATATATTATTATACAACACTATATAATTAGACAATATTATATTATATAGTATTATATATTGTACTATACTATACTATACTATACTATACTATATTATACTATAGTGAATTATATTATATTATGCTATATTATGTTCTATTATATTGTACTAGAATAAGGCTTCAGTCCAGCTCACTTGAAATCGGCTCAACATTCCAGAACGGTCAGAACTTGTACTCTCTCGATAGCACTGCAGGTATTGCGGTGTTGGCCATGGCTCTATGTGTGCCGGTGGGACAATCCACAGGCTCCAACGTGCTCCAACAAGTGTTGGAATCCGAAGCCAAGTGTATATACCGCCTGCTCCCCTACCACCATTCAAGGATCGCCTCGCTCAGAAAATGCTCGGAATTTCCACAATCCACGTGTTGAACCCCCAAATCTTTTTTTTTACCCCAACTCTTCTCCCTGCCCGGCCAGCATGGGACGATTTAGCCGCTGCTCGCCGAGCGCTTCCCCGGAGAGCCTGAGCACAGCTTGAATATTTTTTTGCTGTAACCCTGCAATGCCCGGGTGAAACCTGAGAATACCTTGGTAACCGAAATGCAAGGTGGCTCGAGGGTCGAGTCGAGCCATGTCGAGCCCTCAACATATTAGTCAAGCTGATTGTCTATGTCCGTGACAGGGCTCCGGGCGTCATTACAACGCGGCTAGCTTGACGATGGCTATAGAAAGCACGATTCATTACAGTATGGCATATGATCATGAAAATGACAAGAACTTCGGAACAAGGCTCATGATGAAGTTCACGTTCAATTCCTCCTCGGCCTGCCAACAAGCATCCACAACTCAAGCGTGAATGCATCTCGACCCTTTTTGTGTGCCAAATTACAGAAATCCATTTCTTGGCGCCTCGGCTGCCCGTATGCGGTCGGCGTACTCCAATAGCAACTGGGCGGCTAGAGTTGAAACACTGCAAAGCCGGATGTTTGGCATCACACCTTTTATTGAAGCAGCTTCATACATGATTGGCACAGCATTCCTAGCTCCCAGCCTCCACATAAACTCGTGCAGCCACGTGACCGTACGCCCCGCATGGACTTGCCGCCGCTTCTTTGGGCAACAGTGCGGTTGCAGCAAATCTTGCAACCAGTGCTCCACGGCCTGAGAACTTTTTCCATCAAGACACTGTCAATGACTAAGTGCATCCTGGAACTATATCATTATGCGCGAGCCACGGAACAGGTGCTCTACAAAAACAAGTACTAGCGCTTCTGTGCGCGGACAACATCAGAAAGGGTTTTTCAAACTGTGCTGCCTCCAAACTCAGTCCACCCTCTTCTTCCGGACCCGCCATGGTTGCGTCGCAAAGGAGAACTACTGGCGGAACACAAGCTATCATGAATTCTTTCATCACTTCGTATTCGTCATGCAACACTATCAACAGCTTTTAGGAATACATACAGCTTGTGCTTGTCTGGGCTGTCAGAGCAGTACCATATTTCGCTGTTTGGATTGCCTGCGGCACTTGGGGTGTGTGTCGAGCCAAATGCAGCAATTCCGACAAAGATCCAGCACAATATGCAGTAATTTTCCCAAACATGTCGGCCGTCCTATCCAGGCTTCTCCCACCGCCTGGGCTCGTGCAGAATCATTGTGATGCCCTGAAAACGCGCACTGCCCAGTCGCACCCTTTACAGTAACGCCGTGCATAGGCCCGAGCACATCCACCGCCGAAGTTCGTCGGATCACCTGTGCTGACAACATGTGACAGCATGTGACGAAGAACTGCCTAGACCGGCGGAGACATGTTGCAAGAGTGCACCAAACGTGTGATGATTACAACAAGCGGCGAAGGTTGCACCCGGCTCTTCGTAAGCCCCTGGCCGAGTACGTAACCGCAGTCCGACCTGGTTGACATATAAACACGCCTAAACACTTGATTTTTCATATGTGTCATTGTCATGTTCTTTTCTTTGATCAAAGTACAGCCACTTTTAGGCAAACACGCCGGCTTGAGGCCCCCGGACCCCGGCACGCCGCCAGGCCTGCTGATGGCCGCAAGCTGCAAACGTGGTTTTTCCCACACGGACTTTTCGGGTGATCCACACGCGGCCCCAGTGCACCTGCGAACTACGGCGCTGCAGTGGGCTGCCATGGCTCAGCAGGCAGCTGCTGGGCACAAGCGGGCAGGTGTTGTGCAGGACGTCCTGGAAAGGCGGTGCCTGCGCGCCAGGCATGGGAGCGGTAATGGGCGAAGACCCGAGTAAAGTGGCAGCAAGCGTGCATGTTTTGCACAGCCACGCTGAGCCGGCCCCACCACCGCCTGTACCAGCCCTGAGTGGCAGCACCCCAACGCGGAGCAGGGGTCCCAGACTCAGGGCACTCAGACGGACGAGATGGACGAGCTGAGCAACGAGTCGGAGCGACTCGTCGGACCAACGCCCCGGGGTAGGCAGCGCGCTTGCCGTGTTCGGCGACGGCAGAGGCAGCACCGTCCCTGGTGATTGAGGAGGGTTGTGGGCACCCTTCTCCCTTCGTGCGTCAGCGCCGAGACAAGAGTCACGCCGCAGCACCGCGCCTCGCCGAGCTGTGTCGAGGCGCCGGCGATCGTTCGGGTCGACACCAGGGGCAGGCAGGCGTCCGAGCGAGCCACTGCTGCTGCGGAACGACCTAGCCCTCTGGCCCATCCGTCACTGCGACTGGATCCCTTCAGGAAGCTGCGCAAGGGCTTGCTTCGGGTGTACTGTATGACGAGGCTGGGGCCGCGCAGCACCACGCGTCGGCACAGCGCTCGTTCTACTGTTCCCAATCATTGGATATGTTTGGGGCTGTGGGGTCCTCTGTGGCAGACATTATCTGTCATGGCGTGACGATGATGGCGTCGCAGCCATGATTGATCGTTTATAATTAGGGTCTAAAGCAAAAGGAGCTGCTTCGGTGGAGCTGCACGTGCCGTCGCAGCGATTTTCCCGTTACTTCTTCTAAGCTATGCCACGCACGTCGTAGGCAAGATGCATGATCCCGATATCCGCTGCCTCATTTTGCCGCGCGCCATTCGCCTTCGTCAGCTGTTTGACGCTCCGTGTTTGCAGCGGTGAAGCTCGCAACGTGAGATTAGCTTGATGCCCATAAACCGGCTGCGCAAACGATTACCATCCATGAAGGACAGCAGAAATGGTATCGCTCCACCACGTAAACACACGCGGGTGTTGAAAACCACTGTTGATCCCTTCGTGTTGCAATCGTGTTGCCGAAAACGCCGGCACGAACCCGGTAAATCTTTACGGAGACTCACGTGGCAGCCAAGCGTACCCATGTACTGCGAGCTGCATTGGTGAACGGCGCAGTCGCGCAAGCGTGGGCCAAAAGTGGCACGGTACTCAACCTGTTCATGCGCACCAACAAGTGGGCATAACACGTCTCGATTTCCAGAGCTGCTTCCGGGGATGTCCTGCCGTGCACCATGGCAAGCACAGCAGCAGCTGCAGCTGCAGCAGGACCAGTGCACCAGTGCAAAGACCGGCGCCGAGGCCTTGTTGGACGACCCGGAGATGGCAATCGCCGGGACCCGGAGATGGCAAAAAGTCGCAAGCCACAATCATCATCTCGGCATGCAAGCATCGACCTTTTAAGGGCTTTGCGCCTCACCGGACTGCCCTCTGTTCCGAACTTCAGAACTTCTTTCGGCACCGCCTTCCCCTCCACAAATTCGCGGCGCGAAGACGAGAACCAGGGCTGGCATCGACAGGAATACCGAACCTTGCAGAAAATGGCACCCGGCATCTGGCCAACAACTGCACATGCCTGTCAGCACCAGCAGAAGTTGGCAACCTTGCCAAACATTCGATGTGCAGAAATTGCCGACGCCTCTCCTCCACAACTTGAAGCATGCAGCTTTGAGAACGGACAGTTCGCTAGTTGTTGGCGGCGGGACTGCGGCACAAACGACCTGCTTCATTTGAATTGGCACGAGGGATACGGCCCCTGTGCAGACACAGGAACACATGGCCAATGTAGTTTCGAGTTGTTGACCCCATTATTAGGGACCCCAATTTGCCCACATCGTGAAGGGCAAACCCCAAGCGTCACCGTCCATCACTGTCCGAGAGGCTGATGGCAGAAGCATCCAAGTGTGTCCGTCCTTCGTGTTCCAATGTCTGCACGCTAACAAACAACAGACGGCGGACAATGCACCACACAGGCCGGCAGCGTAGCGTCATCTGTCGTCATCTGAGCCGTTGTTGGTTGTGTAGAAGCTTCGCCTGTGGCGCATGTTTCAGCACAGGCATAGCAAGCGATCGCCGACCACAACAGTGGTAGTAACCATCATAGTGAGAAATCTCGCAGTACTACTATGGTTCAACATGTACTAACAGATTGACATATGATAACAATAACGATGGACCTCAGCTGTCGCAGTTCCGGCGCGGACTCGGTTGTTTTACTTGCGGAGCTGTCAAGCGAATGCCCATTGTCTCCTGTGGCTTTGTCTCTCCTCAACCTAGAAATATCTCCGGGCCCAATGAGGGTACACCGCCGGCGAAGGCGAAGCCCCTCGTCGGGGGTTCGCGGGGTTTGCAGAGGTCCGAAGACGACCGTGCACAACTGTTGTAGCAGCGGTCGATGCAATGCTGCCGGCAGTAGGAGCAGGAGTAGGAGCACGGGAGTCGGAGCAGGAGGAGGAGTGGAGTATGAGTTGGAGTAGGATGGGGAAGCGGAAGCGGAGCAGTACCACTAGGATTAGCGGCAGAAGTAGCAAGTCGGAGGAGTAAGAGAAGTAACAAGACAGAGGAAGAGTGAGGAGGAGCATACCATCAAGCCTTAAGGCCGCAGGTGGCACCTCGAGCTGGAACCTGGCCCCTCCACACCACTCGAGACCCTCCCTGGTCAAACCTGAGGCCACCACCACCAGCCGGCCGAAACCACCTCCAAGAGCAAAGTGGGCAGCAGTTCGGATTCCTCTAGGAGCAATCCCGAAGAAGGGGACCCGGTGCTGCGACTTGCGAGTCCGCGCATGCAAGGATTCGGAGCTTCAAGGCTTTCGTGCTTGGGCCCTGAGTTGCAGACTGGCGTTGAGATGCCGTCCACTGCCAGGCTAACGTCGTGAGCTCCCGACCTCTCTGACAAAGCAAGGCTTGGTACAGCTCTGGGTACAAACTCCATTTGCCATCCCCCCTCAGGGGGGTCCCTCTAAATCATAATTCACTTTGAGCTTCATGCAAGCTAAAACTTATGTCCCAAAGGTAGCACTACTTGATTGAAGTTTCAGTCCATGGGGCAAGTAGTGTGCTTAAGGGTGTCGGGTCATGGGAAGAACCCCAAGCTTTCCACACGGTCGCATCGAATCGAATCTTGCATCATCAGTTCGATTCAGCCCCACAGCACTATGTCCGAAGGCCCTACGATCCCCAAAACGCCGGTCTCAGGGCCGCAGCAAGCTGATCAGCACCGACCCTGGCACAGTCGGAGCTCAACCCTTTGAGGTTTTGGGCGCGGCTTGCGGCTTTTTTTGGGGGAATCGGTCTTCAGCTTCCGGGGTCAAGGTTCAGGGCTTCGGGTGTGGCCGTCTTGTGTGTCGTGGGAGAGAACGGTCATGGTACATGTCTTCGGGCTTGGAGTGGAGGTCCAGGAGGTTTGTCTGCAGAATTCACACTCATGGCACCTTCATAGGGAGCGAAGCTACACCACCACCGTCCCCCAAACCCCCCGGGAGATGGCAACACGACAAGCTGATCGGATGAAGATCCTCAAGCTCAGACTTCGCGACCAGACAGGGGCCTGAAGCAATGGGCGCTCCACCCACGATCTCATCGCAGCTAGAAGACCTCATAGTCATAGCCCAACCGTCGTGTGGAAGGCTGTTTTGGGATAAGGCAAGCTTACGTAGAGAAGGTCACAGCATGGCATAAACCGTGAGCCCTTTCTAAGCATCGGCTTACAGCTCCATGCCGAAAGTGTGCAGCCCCAGAAAGGAATTCAAGAGGTACCTGGGACAGGCCTGCACGAATCAGGCAGCAGAAGTCTAAACTTCTGTAGAAGCCATGAACACACGACTGAACTCCCCAAAATTGGAAAGGCTCTACAAATCTGACCCGGCCTCCTTGCGAAGATGGTGAAAGGCCAGGATCTTATGATTGAGGGTGTGATTGATATCTCATAACTTTAAAGTCAAAAACCGAGTCACAAACCCGAAATCCCAAAGCCAAGCTAAAGAGAGGTTTAGGGCTTCGGGTTTGGGGTTTGGGGTTGTAGGGCTTTGGCTTCAGAGTTTAGCCTCGTAGGGATGCAGGGCTGTAGAGTTGTAAGATTTTGGGATTTAGGGGTGTAGGGCTTAGACTCTCACAACTCGGGCAG